TCTGTCCATTGGTGACAGTGGGGTGTTAAAGTCCCCTACTATGATTGTGTTACTGTCGACTTCCCCTTTTATGGCTGTTAAATTTTGCCTTACGTATTGAGGTGTTCCTATGTTGGGTGCATAAATATTCACAATTGCTATCTTCTTCTTGGATTGATCCTTTGATCATTATGAAGAGTCACGTACCACAATGTTCGTTGCAGCTCTATTTACAATAGCCAGGACATGGAAGAAAAGCTAAGTGTCCGTCGACAGGTGAATGGATAAAGAAGATGTGGCACATATATACAATGGAATATTACTCAGCCATAAAAAGATACGAAATTGAGTTATTTGTAGTGAGGTGGACGGACCTAGAGACTGTCACACAGAGTGAAGTTAAGTTAGAAAGAGAAAAACAAATACCATATGCTAACACATGTATATGGAATCTAAAAAAAAGAAATGGTTCTGAAGAACCTAGGGGCTGGACAGGAATAAAGACACAGATGCAGAGAATGGACTTGAGGACCTGGGGAGGGGGAAGGGTAAGCTGGGGCAAAGCGAGAGAGTGGCATGGATATATATACACTACCAAAAGTAAAATAGTTAGCTAGTGGGAAGCAGTCGCATAGCACGGAGATCAGCTCGGTGCTTTGTGACCACCAAGAGGGGTGGGATAGGGAGGGTGGGAGGGAGACACAAGAGGGAGGAGATATGGGGATATATGTATATGTATAGCTGATTCACTCTGTTATACAGCAGAAACTAACACACCATTGTAAAACAATTATACTCCAATAAAGATGTTAAAAAAAACTTTACAACGTGGTGAAGATTATAACTTAATATGTCTAAATCTACACCAGGAAATCCAAATGAAACACTGTCGTAGTTACAGGGACAGTCACTTGATGCCACTTTATGCACTGGAATACAATTATGTGCCCCCTCAGATGTAACCTCCATTAGGGCAGAGCCCATATCTATACTGCTTACAACTGTATTCCCAGTGTCTAGTGAATACCAGGTACCCAAGAGACTGTTCTTTCTTAGTTATTAAAAATATTCCTATTTTAAAATATATTCCTTCTTTCTTTAATATCAGATAAAAATATACTTTTGTAGATTTTTCCATTGTATATTTTACAATATGGCAAAAATATATCATTACTAATGCTTGAAACAGTTATGCACTAAGAAAGAAGATATAATTTTAGCTATTATTGTACTTATATGCTAAATTTACCCATTCAATCTTGAAAATGAGAAAAATTTTAATAGTGTACAATTCACTTTCTGTGAGCTATCTTTTATTGGTCTCTAGCTCTAGCCCTTCAACTTGAAATGAGAAACATTCACGCTTGGACCAATATCCATCTTATAATTTCAAACGGCACATTTTCCAGCTGAATATTCCCATGTTTAAAAGCAGTTGTGTTATTCCCCCAAAACTGAGTGTTCTCATTTACTCACAATATAATAAAATATCCTTAATTGAAATGAAAATATCTTTACTCTTCAGTTACCTAAAATGACGTATCTTCAATCATGATGCAATGAAAACAATTTTCTTAAACTAACAATACAAAAATTAAGAACAACATGTTCTTGAAGACCCAAAAGTATTCAAACCACCAAGCCAGGAAAATGCTGGCTTTACAAAATTAAATTAATATTCAAATATTTTATCATTCTTATCTCACGAATATTTACAAAGTCACTAAATATAGTACAGATTTTCAGAATTGTCTTTCCCAAGAAGATATAATGTGAATATGATATAATATATTGGGAAATTTTTAAAGTTTTGTTTAAACGGTTAGTGAGTATTCCCCTCCACCTACCTTTTCCACTCCGGGCTGCAACCTAGTTTTACAGGTTTTAACAGTGTTTCCAAATTCCCAACAGATATTAAATTTGGGGGATTTGGAAATGAGAAAGTGGGATTCCTGAAAACATAAGTTATTCCTAAAATACTTCCAATATTCTTCATATTCTTTACTCATTAGTATGAGTAATTAAAAATTCTTTAATAAGAAACATCATTTTAAGTAACACAGGCATACCCTGTTTTACTGTACTTTGCTTTACTGCTTTTTGCAGATACTGCATTTTTTATAATCGAATGTTTGTGGCAACCCTGAGTCAAAATCAAGTCCATCGGCACTGTTTTTCCAACAGCATTTGCTCACTTTGTGTCTCTGTGTCACATTTTGCTATTTCCACCAGTGAAAAGATTACAACTTGATGAAGGCTCAGATGATGGTTAGAATTTTTTAGCAATAAAATATTTTTTAATTAAGGTATGTACACTGTATTTTTAGACATAATGCTATTGCATGCTTAACAGACTACAGTACAGTGTAAAATATAACTTGTATGCATACTGGGAAATCAAAAAATTCATGTGACTTGCTTTATTGCAATATTCGCTTTATTGTGGTGGTCTGGAACTAAACCCGCAATATCTCTGAGGTGTGCCTGTATTTACGAAGAACTTTAGCCTACAAAGAATATTAAAACACTGGAAACTGCCAGCAAACATTACTAGGTACTATTTCTAATAACCTAACATTTGGATCTCTTACCATGCTAACAGCACTACAAAGAACCACAAATTAAAATTACCAGTTTATGATCTTATTTTGCTTCTAAGTTATGCCTTGAAACACCATTAATATACTTTATATATAAAGTGAATAATATTTATTATATTTACATTGTTATGTGCCTTGTAAACAGCAGATAGGGCCACAAAACACATAACAGGGCTACAGCTACAAAGAAGACCGACTAATTGAAGGGTGACTGCCCTCCTCCTCCTTTTTTATATGAATATGCATGGCACTGTCACCTATTCATTCTTATTTAAACGCTCCTTCTCCATGAAATGTGCTTCCCTGTCATACCTACTCTTTTTTGAGGCCTCTCTTCCCTTTTAATTAAACCCTTTCCTCTTCCATACCCTATGCAGCAAACCCCACTGCCTCCTAGGCCACTTACCAGACCACTGTATTGATCTGATTTTACATAAAACACCCCCAATCTTCACCTATGTTACAGGTTTTAAGAAGAAGGTTCATGTTTAAATCTTTTCACATCTTCAGAGCTTAAAGCAGTGCTCTGAGTAGATCAGAGGTATTTGGTTACTGTTATTACGGTAGGCAGGATGTATGTAGTCTGTTCCTTTATACTGCTCTATACTTTCCAGAGCTTTTACGGTGGGCTACTAATACTTGGAAAACATCAAAGAGTTTCATTAAAGAGAGTCATAAAATTTGACATCAAAAAAAACAAACAACCCAATTAAAAAATGGGCAGAGGACCTGAACAGACATTTTACCAAAGAAGACATACAGATGGTTAACAGGCATATGAAAAGATGCTCAACATCACTAATCATCGGGGAAATGTAAATCAAAATTACAAGGAGATATCACCTCACACCTGTCAGAATGGCTATTATCAAAAAGACAACAAATAACAAGTGTTGACGAGGATGTAGAGAAAAGGGAACCCTCATGCACTACTGGTGGAAATGTAAATTGGTATAGCCACTGTGGAAAACACTACGGAGGTTCCTCAAAAAATTGAAAATAGAACCACCATACAATCTAGCAATTCCACTTCTAAGTATTTTTCCAAAGAAAAACACCAATTCAAAAAGAGACACGCACCCACTATGTTCACTGCAGCATTATGTACAATAGCCAAGATATGAAAGCAACCTAAGTGCCCATCAATAGATGAATGGATAAAGAAGACAGGTGTGTATGTATGTGTGTGTACACACACACGTGTACACACACACACACACACACACACAATGGAATAGTACTCAGCCATAAAAAAGAATTAGGGCTTCCCTGGTGGCACAGTGGTTGAGAGGGCACCTGCCGATGCAGGGGACATGGGTTCATGCCCCGGTCCGGGAAGATCCCACATGCCGTGGAGTGGCTGGGCCTGTGAGCCATGGCCACTGAGCCTGTGCGTCCAGAGCCTGTGCTCCGCAACCGGAGAGGCCACAGCAGTGAGAGGCCCACGTAGCGCAAAAGAAAAAATAAATAATAAATTAAAATAAATTAAAAATTTTAAAAATATAATAAAGTTAGGCCTGGAAATTAAAATAATAATAATATTGTAATAGCTTTATATGTTGACACATAAGTACTAGACTTCTTGCTGTGATCATTCTGTAATGTACAGAAATGTCGAATCACCATATTGTACACCCAAAACCAACACGGTGTTGCAGGTCAATTATACTTCAATAATAAAAAATACAATAAAATAAAAATAGAGTCATAAATGGTTGAGACCTTTGGCTAAAAGGGAAATTCTGAAATATACTTAAATCTGAAAATAATACAACGAATTACAAAGTAAGAACAGTGGAGACTGTAGTTCTCATTACAGAAAGCTTCATTTCTGAGGCAGCAAACAGATTTCCTTAATTAACCCATTCAAACCCTTTCAAAACTCCAAATTCTGTGCTCTGAGACAAAAATCATATTAAAGATTCATTTTCCCATAATGAAAACCTTACAAACATTTGCAAATATTGTGCTATGGAAAATATCTTACTACTTACACCGAGCTCCAGTTTTTCTGGAGTGTGACTGTGTCCAAAGGAAACAAAGCTACAACTGAATGGAGGGAGAAGGAATGGAGTGGGGAGAGGGTGACGATGCACCTCAAGAAGGTAGATTTCTTAATGGGTACTACTGTACTATCCCAAGTAAGCAGGGCCCTACTGAAGTTCTAGAATAGCTGGGATATATTCAGTGAATTCCTACAGATTAACCTATATTAAACAAATATTAAGTGCCTATTTTGTCAGGCACTGTTTTAGGCAATGAAGAAGCTAGATTCTATGAAAAGTTTCAGACACATTTAAAAATAATTCATGATTTACATAAAAATGTACAAGCATGTTAAACTAATGTGATTAGAAACTATGAAAGCACTAATTTTCATAACTTGAATCTATAGCAAACATGTGTGAAAATCAACTTTACCTTATATTTCATCTTGGGACATGAATGAATGTAGAAACCCATATAGTAATAGCTGAGTTGAGGTGTTTTCTCATGAAGCTGCCTAGTAAAAGCAATTTCTCTGCCAAAAGAAGAATAAAGATCAAGGTACAGTTAAATTTAGTTCCAAAATTCAAAGTACTGTACAATTTGGTAACACATATTTGATAAAATCTGACATTAAGCTATCAAAATAAAAATCCAAGTGCTGAAAGAAAAACAATTTTAAAAACACTTGAAGATGACTTTTACTAGAGAGACACCAAAGAAAAGTATATTATTTTAGCAAATGCACCAAGGTTCTGGTTTTACTCTTTATCGGGCATAGCAGTGTATCTCAAATTCAAAGAGCATAAAAGTACAAAGATCTATTTAATACAATTCCTTATTATTCATTATCACCTGGAGTTCTCAAAGACTGGATTTATCAGGTTAAAAACAGTACAACAAATTTTAGAAGGCTCAAAAACCAACAAATTTCAGGAAGAATACTACTATGACCATTTACATGCAAACACTTTCAACTATATATGACGTATTACTACTCTCTATGTCCAGATGCTACTTTAATATTTATTTTCTCTAAAACTAAAGAGGGGGGAAAAAACCATGCTATCTCACTGCCTTTTCTCTATTTGTTGGCACAGGCAAGGATTAATTGAAAAAAGAAGCTGTCAGCAATGCCTATGCTCGACGTGGTTTTAATTTGTATCCGGATAAATCTGGGCACAGAATTTCATCCTACTTGTCCAAATGAATGACCGCTTGTGCTGGAGAGCTTTAAGCAAAGCTTTGGTACATTTCTAAAGTATGAGAAAAATGGTTTTGTTTTTATGTTTGTTTCTTGAAGGTTTTAATTTCCTTTTCTTTTTCTTTGTTTTTAGTAGCAATGGATGCTTGAAATCCAAGGAGAGATTTATTTTTTAAGGGAACAGTCTGTGCATTTTGCAAGTTCAAATTTAAAGCATTGAAGGGTCGTTACCCTAAAAATTCATCTTTCAAACAGACTGAACATTATTAGGCTAAAACAGAATAGATCCTATTATTCTCAGAACTAACCCACTCTTCAAGGTTCACACTGAGGAAGAACGCAATGGTACAGCAAAGCAATGCAGGACCACCCAGCTCTGAAGAGGACCACCAGCCCTCCTACTCGGCCCTGCTCATCTCAGCTAACTGCAGCACCACTCCACCACCAGCACCACTCCAAGCCCCAAGCCTATGATCCATACTTAATTGTTCTCTCCCTCTCACCCCTGTGTCCAACCCATCAACAAGTCCAGTTGGCTCTATCTCCAAAATATACCATGAATCTGACCATTTCTCACCACCTCCACCTCAGGTATTTTGGTCCAAGCCACCATTAGGCCTCCCTTAGACGACTCTAACAGCCTCCCAAATAGATTTCCAGTTTCCACTCTGGCCCCTCCATAACCTCACAGAGCAGTCTAAGTAGTCTTTTACGATATTAATCAGGTGAGGTAACCTCTCCAAACCCTTCACTCTCACACTGGGTTGGTATCACACTTAGATAAAATCCAACCTCCTTACCATTACCTATAAGCCCTTCTCCATCTGTCCCCTCATCAACACCACCTGCCTTGCTGCCATCCTTGCATAGCACTGCCTAGGTTCTACCCCATTTCCTAGCCCATAAGGCCTTCCTTCTCTTCATTCCAACGACCTCAGGGCACTTGGACTTGCTACCTTTGACCTGGACGTCTATCCTCAGATTCTTGCATAGCTGGCTCCTATTCTTCTTTCTTGGCTTTTCAGAGAGGTCTTTCCTAACCACCCTATATAAAAAGGGCCTCATGCCTACTACCATAATTTCATTTTTGTCACAGCACAACAGAGTCTCTAAAATTGTGTTGTCAGTTTTCTAATTTACTGTCTGCTTTGACAAAGCTGGAAACCCTGTCTTATTCACATCTACAGATAGTTCCAGGACACACAGACTGTGCTCAAATAAACATCTGTTAAGCAAATTAATTACATTTCTAAAATTCATCTTGCTAAAAAAACCAAAAAAGAAAGGAAATAAGTTCCATGCTCATGATCCCCAATTCAAACATTTTTAAATCTGTAGACCAGATTACATAAAAATCTAGTAATCTGTAATCTTGATTACAGATTAAAATATAAAAACTCTTTATTGATTGTACGATTGATTAAGAAACTAAAGAAATGGAGGAAAAATTTAACAGGCTTCACTGAAATACATTAAAATCAGTAATGGAACTGGCAACTTGTAACCTACTCTCCCCAATTTTGCTTCATAATGTCAGTCTCCTGGCTGCCTTTCCTCTTCTATAAACTCAGCAATTCAGATTCTCAAGAGCACGGTAACAGACGCAGTGGCAATCTCCTCACTCTCCACTGACCCCAACTTTTGTGCTCTCAGGCTCCTCTGCTACCTCCTCAAAGCCCTCCAGCTCCAGAACTTTCAAGAGATATACCAGGCAGCAAACAGATTGCTGGGAACAAGTTTTGTTGGGAATTATTTGCTATCTCAAATGCAGTGGAATTTCTATATCTCTTTGTTTATGGAGAAATGAAATATTTCATACAGAGGCTGGGATTTATTATCTAAGAATAAATATCATTCTTAACATTTATCTGAGAAATCTAGACAAATCCATGCCTACTACACATTGTAAAGTGAGAGATACATAAATAAAAGAAGAAAATGGTAACAATTTCAAAGTACTGACTGATTCTGATACAAAGAAAAAGTATCTTTTCTGAAATACACGCTTCTAAAGTTACAAAATGTGAATGCTTTAAATTATCAGTTCTAATTTCACAAAGAGTTAAAAGATACTACAAAGAATCATGGATGTTTTTTAATTAGTTTATACATAATGTAATTAAATACATTAAGAAAAATAAAAGTTTATTATAAGGATCAGTCGTAAACATTGTACATTTTTTAATTTGCTATGTAACTTGGCATTAAGATAGGTCATGTTGAAAATATCAATATTGTGTGCCACTGAAAAACACAAAAATATCAATTATGCACCATATATTTTTTTAATCAACTAGTGATTTAAAAAAAATCAGCTCTCCGACTTTTATAATTCAGAGAAAAGCACACACACAGTAAATAAAATAATCTTAAAGTATATTTTATCAAGATGTGAAAAACGTGACCATCAGAGACAAAGAATGGGAAAAGCAAAGAGAAAAAAGTGATAAAGAGGGAGAAAAAAGAGACTCAAGCTCCCAAACAACATAAAAATAATTCTCAATGCTCCTTCCTCCTCTACCACATGTATATGCAGACAAGCAGCAATAAAAATAAAAACAAATATTTTCATGAAACAAGACCCCACTATTTTCATTATTAGGATAATGCAACTAAAAATATCTGTGCTGTGTTGCATATATTTTGCAGCCATGGACATGAAAAGGAAATCATCTTTCAATGAGGTCATAGAGTCAAGTGGACAGTCAGGGACTCTCTGGTCCTGTTCTATATACTTTATATAACTGTGTATTTCTTCCAACAGACTGCCATTGCTTTAATTCATTTACACCAGATTCACGTAACCTTTAATTAATTATAAAAAATATATATACAATAGTAATGACAAGAGAAAATATACAAATAATGTAACATTTTAAAAAAACATTACGTGGCTCTGACAGGGGAGCTTAAATAAATGCATAAACTAAACAACAAAAGTATCACAGTGACGTCTCATACATTAGACCAGATGGATACCTTAAAAATCTAGGGAATGGGGCTTCCCTGGTGGCGCAGTGGTTGAGAGTCCGCCTGCCGATGCAGGGGACACGGGTTCGTGCCC